TAAGCGTTTGAATAATCAAGACTATTCTCGGAAAACTTCTTTTGAATTACCGTTGCTTTCATTTACCTTAAATTAAAGGCAATATGAACAAGGAAACTTCATCTTCTTCAATTGCTGCTGGATGTCTGGATTATTGTGGAATGGAGACAATGTTACATATAACATGCGCACAGTACACTAAGGAGCAAACACTGAGACATTTGGAGCAGAGTAAAGCAGTTGGTTTGAAAAATATACTTGCACTTCGAGGCGATCTCCCGCAGGTTCTTTTGTTTTAGTCTGCTGCATATTCCTTCATAGTTTGGCATCTCTTTTTTTTTATTCAAAGCAACTTTCTTTACAAACATTTTTGTTACTGTAGTGTTATCAACAGCTATATGAACCCTTTTAGAGTTCAGGTTTAAAAGTTGTCCCCAAATTTCGTGCACTAGACATGATAAGATGGATAAAGGAAGAATTCGGTGAATACTTTACTATCGGTTGTTCTGGTAGGTACATTTTCAGTTATCTTTTATCCCTACTATTCCGTAAGACTAGCAAAATCCCCTTTGCTTTTTCTGACTTTCAGGTTACCCAACTGGTCATCCTGAAGCTCCTTCGTATAAAGCCGATTTGCAGTATTTGAAAGCGAAAGTCGATGCTGGAGCGCAGATTATTATAACCCAACTTTTTTTTGAGGCGGAAGAGTTTGAAAAGTTTGTTAGGGATTGCAGAGAGATTGGTATAAACGTACCAATTATTCCAGGCATTATGCCTATTCAGGTCCTTTTCTGTCGATTAATTTTTATTTTTATGGTTAAAATGATTACAATCACAAGATTTTAAGGTGAGTAATTTTAAGCAGCTATATAGCTTCCTCTTAAACCTTTAATTTCCAGAGTTATGAAAGCATTCGACGAATAACCACTTTGTCTAAATTAACTATACCAGATTGGATTCTTAAGGAACTTGAACCAATTAAGCAGGATGATGATGCTGTTCGTAGATATGGTATTCATTGTGCAGTTGAACTTTGTAGAAGATTATTAGCCAACGGTTCCGCACCTGCTATTCATTTATACACCTTGAATAGAGAAGCATCATGTCGGTAAGTTTTTCTTTCCATTTGAATT